ATGCTGGCAACAGGAAAGGAACCGTGTATTTTTAATCAATGTTCCTTGAAAGATATTATAACCAATCGGCTGCAGTCTACACTTTCGTTATTGATTTTCATATTGCGACTCTTCGATAAAATAAGCTTTTTCAGTCGGATTCATACTACGTAATGAAACTTGCTATATAATAAATTTCTTTTGCAACTTGTTAGGAGGTATACCTTTGGAAATTGTGTAACGAGTTCGTAACAAGCTTGTATAGCATTTAGCGCCGTGGTATTCATGATGGCGTCTAACGTCGAAGTTGCATGAGTAACTATTTCACAAGCATTCGTTCTATTAGAATGATTATCGAAAAAAAGCAAGAGAATGTAAGAAAGATAATTAATCGAATAGTGAAAAATGCTTCCTGGTCAATGTTTTTAGTCGTGTTATAGTGTTTGGATTGATAGATATTTTTTAATATTCTTTAACCCCTTATACTGCGATTTAATCATGAACAATTGTAGATTGGCAGAGCGTTTAATTTTAATTAGGCCTTATATATTTATCTCGCTCGCGATAAAATTGTGAATGTTTTTAGGATTTATACAAAATATATTCGTGCAGCTTGTTCCCGTGTGATAGATACTCGATGGATAACATATATAATTTTCTTGGACAATACGTCTTGTAACATTGTGTAGCCTCGGTATAAGAACTATGTGTTTGATTACTTTGTTTATTATTTTTTGGAGTAAAATGATGCTATACGAGTTTATGATATTAAGTTTTTTAATTCTCTTTACGTTATTTTAAATTTAATTTATTTTTAACGATATTTAATGAACTTATAAAAGATACACGTGTTATTTTAGATATTACTACCTGTATAAATTTTATCGTAGTATTGCGAATATTTCATATTCGCTATATTTGAAGTATAGGTAATATTTAAATTCACACATACGAAATATAAAAAAAATTTATTTTTACATAAAACGAATATACATTATTTTTTACGTAAAAATATGGAAATTGTGAATAGTACAATGATCAAATACTAATAATTGAAGTAACACATTGCATTGCTAATTTAATATAATTTGGAACGAAAGAAACGTATTCTTCCAGGTTAAATTTTAATATAATGTTCGCAAGCATAATTTATTGTTACCAGTATATACTTAAAAAATCATTTTAACGTGTAATTTTATATTAGAAACCGAATAGACTATCATCATTTTGACCAAATTTCGTATTTTTAAATCGACAATAATAAATTTGTAATAATATACATATACATATGTGCATTTTTTATCATAAAGTGTCGATACAAATAATATTATTCAGTCTGTCTCGATCTTCGCGTGATATTAAATAGATATGACATACGATTTTATTTTGCAAAATTAGCTCTCCGTTTCGACAAAGGAGATTTTTGACGTTATTATTACAACAAAGGAATAGGTGAAAGACTGAGTCCGCAGTTGCGATAAACAAATGATTACTAAATTTTTGTTTTTTAATAATTCGGTATAAGTACTATAAAGATGAAGCGTGTTTCAAGTTTACTTTGAAAATTGTCGATATTTAGACAAAACTTAACTTGAGATTAATTGATTTCTATAATACTTTCAATAGAGCAGTGTAGTTATTTAAAATAACAAATGTAAAATAAGTATACATATACTATGCATACACCAAAAATTTGTCATACAATTTAATAAATGTACATATACAATAAATAATATACAATAAATATAAATAAAATAGGCATAAATATTTAATCTAACAGATTACAAAGTATTCTACATACCAATCTACAATGTACAAAGATATATAAAAAAATGTTCAAACTAGACGTAAGAAAAGGAAGTTTATTCCTTTTATATAAAATTATACACGAGCAGTTACATTACTACTTACATAGTTCAATAAAGACTATTTCTTATGAAATAGATGTTTTTCGTATAATTAAAATATCTTTTTAATAAAAAGATTAACGGACATATTTATTACTAGCTGAATCGTTTATATAAATAGATTAACGCTATCGATATTATTGTATGAATATATAGCCTTTACTTGCTAACTACAAATCATTAATATTAACTGTTCTGAATAATTTTCCAATTAATAACAACAAATTTTGCACCAGCATATTATTTTTAATAAAAAAAACCTAATTTCGAAATTAATTAATTGTAATACAAACCTTAATTAAAATTTATGGTTTTGCAAATTATTTACGTTTTTATTTTTCACAAAATCAATTTCTGATATTCTTTTGCATTACATTTTACACAACGATAGCACTAAATTACTAAGTATTAAAAAAAAAATTATACAATAGATTTTTTATTCAATTATATGACTTAATTGAATTTAAAAATTTCTTGGGTACTCAAAGTAAATAAGTTTAAAAATTGACTTGATGCTTTTAATGTAATATTGTCTAATATATAATAACTTAATGTATAATTTTTCTTATATTTTGATATATAAAACTAAAAGATAGGTACTTTTCTAAAAATTATCGCGTTGAACACATATATTAATTTCAGATTATATCGTTTTTTAATTTACATAACATTTTATCCAATTTTTATAATAACATAGTAATGCGATAATTCTTCGTCGTTCAAATATAGTTACAGAAAATAGAACTAAAGAAAACAGAAGAAAGAAGCAAATTTCTTTATGAATATTTAATATACAAATTTTTATGCAAAAAGTATTTAATATATAGACATAGTATTATTTACAAATTTTTGTATTTTACATTTATATTAATATTATAATGTCATTTTATTGAGTTTATTTTGTTATTATAATTTTTAGCATATTTCATTAGAATTTCAATATTTTCTTAATGACAGATATACGTTCAAAAATTTTCTTGTTCATTCTAATTAAATTATTATTATTGATACAGTGATATTTCGAATGGGGTTTCATATCATTAAAAATTAAAATAATTTATTTGAAACATAATTGGCTATTATATTTCGATTGCTTTAAATTCAGTATTAATTGAATTTGTCTTTTTCGTACAATATTATAACATTATTCACCTCTTTAACAATTTGCTAGTTGGGTATCATATTATTGTAGATAATTACGAAACTCTGATATTCCACATTAAATTAAAGTTGTAATTAAGAAAAATATATCATTAAATAATAAAGAATTGAATAAATGATCAATAATGGTGATCATTTGATATGATTAAACAAAAACTGCACAGTGTTTTTAAAAAGATTAATCTGAAATCAAAGAAATAAGTTCTTTTAAGACTTTTATGGCAATATTTTTCTTAAACGTTTTTAATACAATCAAACGTTTTTCTTTCAACAATAATTTACCTTGAAATTCTACATTGTAAAGTTTACAAATATATCTGTACTTCACGTACATGTAACAATTCATTCGCAAGACAATTAATTCAATTCCTACTTGTTCGATAATTTTTATTTACAAGATATGCTTTTTATCCCAATTTTTAACCCAAAGAGGAATAGAAAAATATGAGAAACGCGAAGAAAGATCACTGCAATTTTGAATTTGCAATAAATATAATTTTTACAGAAATATATCGTTAGCATGATTTTCTGGAGGATTACGTCTACGACGTATAATACGTGTAATATGAGAATAGCATTCTGTCCGTGTTCGTGTGCTCGCATATGTAAAAATTGTTTTAAATTTCTGCAGAAAATCGTACCCAGACGATATTAGCAAATTTCTAAAAAACGAATCCGTAACAAATCAGGAGGAAATCTTCATTCAAGACCAACTCTTACCTATTTGCTTCAATCGGTCTGATTTCCTCGTGGAAAATCTTTCCCTTACTTGCTTCTGTCGTGGAAACGTTACACGTATCGAGAGGCAGAGAAAAAAAGACGGAAAGAAAATTTCGAGGGTAAGTATTATGAATAAAAAATGCGAGGGCGAGTTTCTCCCCCGTTGGCTGTCCGAGAAATTAAGAGAAGGGAGAAGGTTTGCACGCAGGTTTGAACAGCACGTACATATGGTCCACCTGCAAAAGGGAGCCAACACCTGTCACGCACACCAACCACGGCCGGTGGTTTACGGCAAGCAAGTAGATTCAAAGTGGGGGATTATCAGGGCTTTCGTTACCCCTTGGCACTAGTTTCATTCGAACGATCATGCGGTTTACATGTTTTATCCCACACAGTCGCCGAGAATGTACTTATGCGATCTAACGAATCGTAATGTACGTTTTCGAGTTTTCCTAACACGTTGGATTAAGTTGCCGTGAATGTTTTACCGAAAGTGAAGAATCTTTTTATTTATCGGCCCCGGAAATGTTCACAGGTGTGTCGTGCTTGAACTTTCCAATAAGAATTCACTCTTACGTTGCATTCCGTTAGAATTTCGTATTGATTTGCCGTATTTCTTCTTTTTTTCTTTTCTTCACTACTACCTACCCTCGGCGAGTTTGGGTGCAATAGCTCCCTTCGCAGAAATCTTCCACTTCCGTTTCGCCCTTTCGAAACGAGGCGTCGATATTTCAATCGAGACGTAGAATTTGGAATTCTATATTCCTTATTTTATCGTTTCATTATTTAGAAAATAATTAGAAATCGTTAGTAATTGCATGTACATTTGTCTTCTTAAATATATATTAGATAAGTGTTCTTTGAATATGAATTTCTTTTAATTTGGCATATTTCGCGGTAACTGCGTTATATGCGACGAAATTCTAGGCCAATGTTACATATTGCGTTTCGTATCTTTCTAATGATTATATCGGAATTAAATTTTCATTTCGGCTCTCGACTTAGAATATTCTGCTTAACTAACATAAACAACGTTAAAAAACGATATATACGTATAGAATGATGTATGGAATTTAGTAGAACCGTTGTGAGAATGTTCGTGATTATAAATGATCATATGTCGGCTTTAAAAATAGTGTTACGAATTATTCGAAATTGGTATTGTAAATAATTCGAGATTTTGGTGTTTTTACTCAGGTTCTTAACACGCGTTCGATACCTATGCGATGAAAAATGGTGAAAATGAAGGCAGAATCGATCGACAGTGAAAAAGCAACGAGACGTGGTTCGTCAGCTATGAGGGAAAATATGCATAATGACGATTATGGTGTTGAAGCAGAATTGACGAGCCTTTCATGGCTGCAGTCGTTGGACATTACGAGTGCTTCTAGTTTGCCAACACCACCCTGTTCTCCATCACCACCGCCTGTAACGCGACAACCAAGGAAGAAGCTTTCACCCCTGATTAAGGCCGAATTAGGTGAACGAAATTGATTTCATTCAAATTGCTTTGCAATTTCTATTATTCGTACTATCCTCTACATATTAAAAACTAGAAACTTCTCCTTTTTCATTATCGCGGTATCGATTGGTTGAATTTTACTCTATAGTTGATTCTACATGGGGTACCGTAATTGTTAAAAATTGACGTGCATTGTAATCGATAAAATTAATAAATAGAAATATAAAGTGAAAATGAAATATTGGAATATTGAAAAATGATTGTTTTTATATTGACATGATTATTATAATGTGAAGACATGTGTACAGTACTTTTTAAATTGTCCGAAGCTTCATTTGAGAAATTTAAATTTATATGGGGTACCGTAGTCATCAGAAATTTATATACGTTATAAGTAATTCGGTTAATAATTAGAAATATAAAGCGATAATATCGAAACTTTATTATCAAAAATGATGCGGTTAAATACGTTTATATTCAACTTAAAATTGATCATTTCTTTTCTGAAATTCGGTGATTTCATTTCGCAAAAAATGATTACAAGATTGCATGTATAATTAACGCTCACCAGTTTAAGATAATTACAACGATTAAAATTCCACACAAGTGTAATATAATGAACAACCATATTGACGAACATGTTAGTGTCAAAAGGTGTATCCTAATTTTATAGTAAAGAGATTTTTATGATTCATTGAACTATTGAATAATAGTACTGTTATGAAATATGCCCGTATACTAAGTTATTATGTCATATTACGTAGAACATTTTGTTTCTCACTCTAGCTTTTAATTATTTATATCGGTTATATGCTATTCAAGGTATAGCATAGAAATAGCATATTTTCATTTTCACGTTTAAATTATTTAGAATACTATCGTTATTCTTCGACGTAGACAATTTACGAATCTATTTAAAGATTTGGTAGAATTTACGTATATGGTAATGAATATGTAAAGAATATGACATAGTATCGTTAACAAAAATGTATTCATCGAAGCAAAAACTTCTACTTGCATCGGAAATACGAGTAAAAAATTGGAATCTGAAAGTATTAGACTTTACAAGAGAAAAAAAAAGAATGAAAAAATATTAATTTTGAATTAATTTTCTGCGTTCAGATCTAGCTGCAAATGCAGAGAAGTATCGGACTGATCCCGACGCCAAACCGCCATTTTCATACGCCACGATCATTTGCCTGGCGATGCGTGCGAATAACAACAAGGTGTCTCTCTCCAACATATACGCGTGGATTCGAGAAAATTTCTTATTTTATAAATACGCCGATCCAGCTTGGCAGGTACCAGATTTCGTATACAACAATCGTCGCAATTTGCCGATCGATTGTCGTTAAAATTAAGATTTAATTTTGAAATTATTCCAACAGAAACATAAATTCTCTTCGTCAAACAGATCTCGAGAAATATTTCATATTTATCGTAATTACAAATTAGAATTTCGATATTAGCATAAATTTCTCTGATATAAATAAGAATCATCTATGTCGTTCCTCTTCTTCTTTTTCTTTTTCGTTTTAAACAGAATTCGATTCGACACAATTTGTCGCTGAACAAATGTTTCGTAAAATTACCACGTTCGAAGGATGAGCCTGGCAAAGGTGGTTTCTGGAAGTTAGACCTCGAAAGGATGGAAGAGGGCAAAAAATCAAAGCGACGCGCGACCATGTCCCAACGGATTCGCGGATCAAAGAAGGTAACATCTGGGAAGACGATGGTAACGAACAATGTACAAAGCAATGGTGCCCCATCGATCAATTGTCCGTCCACGTTGTACGAGACTCCTCCGAGTAGCGTATCTCCCCCGATTCCAGACTGTCTTTCGGAAATTCCTGACTCTACTCAAGTTAGCCTAAGCGAGGATGACCTTACTGGTTTGCTAATCGCTACTGCGGGCTGGGATGAAAATCAGCTAGATCTCTTGGATTCCCTGCTCGACACTCTTTAAAAGATTCACCGGTTCTGCCTTTTGTATTTACACAAACTCAAAGAGACATTTGTATTTAACTTCCTTAATTTTTCGTTATTCTAACAATTTGTACGTCTCCAGCCTTTTTCACAAGTACCCAACGAATTTCAGCAAGAGGCTGCAATTTGAATTTTGTTCTTACGTGATCGTGTAATCCAGATGTTACATGATTGAGATAATTATGATTAGTAGATGGTTTTAAATATAAACGAATGCTGTTTTATTTGGGAAAGAAGAGAACAGCTGGTCGATCGTACTACATATTAACCCCTTGCACTACGATTTAATTATGAAGAACTATACATTGTAAAAGTATTTTATTTTAATTAGCCACTATATTAGTCGCGATAAAATTATAACAATTTTTTGAATTTATGCAAATTTTGCACGTGTTAAAATGCGTCAGATATAATTTTATTCTAATGACAATGTATAATGATTCATCTTTATGGGGTTTAGCGTGGAAAATTCACGACGAGTTAGACTCGTTATTGTAGCACAAGGGGTTAAGTTTAAGTTCATTGAGAAATGATTTTCTGGGAGAAGAGAAAAATTTGTGAAGAATAATTTTTTACTACGAGAGAATATTAATTGAAATGTACATATATTTCAGTTATTTTAAATTGATTAAAAAATAATATTTATTTATTCAACCATAATTATCACTGTTGAGATATTTGTTGATACGAAGACATGATTTGTGCTTATTACTTGACTGAATATATAGGCAGGAATTCTACGATAAATTAATAGTTAATGATACTGTGTACGAAAAATAATTATAATACTCGTAACAGTAATTTGCAGTGTGCCTTCGAATAAAGAATAAATATTTATAATATCCTACATTTGCCAAGTCGATTAATTCGTGTAGAGTATGTTTCGTATTTCTGCTTTAAAATAACAGGATACAAAGTGCCTTATAACTATTATCCGCAAAGAAAAACTTATCAATTTTCTTTGATTAAACCTTGATTATTCACCGGTCACGATTCGTTTACAAATGTTTTAGAATAATAAAATAAACAAGTAATATACGAAATAATTAAATGAGAGAATAGTTGTAAAATAGTAAAGCAAGAGAAATCGTGTAATAACGAACAGATTGAAAAATAACGAGAAATTATAATGCAATTTCTAATATTTCGTTTAATGTGAAATTTGATTATTTTATCGATAAAGTTAACGAATCAGATTTATTGACAAATAATGAAACACGAATCGAAATGCATATGCAGTTCAAGTAACGATTAATCGATTATCATTACTTCGTATATTTCTGTAATCTAAATCAGAAATGAATTTCCGTCCAAATAATGTTTGCAATATTTTATAAAATAAAATACCTATTTTTATGCACACTGAATATTCTCCTACTTTTCATACTTTCATTGACGTTTCTTTTTTTGTCCTTTAATTAATTAGGAAACAGAGAAAAAAAATGTATTATTAATAAGTATATTATTTATAGCGACTATAAAGGTATGCACGTGATTTTAATAACTATGCACTAAGCGATCGTAACTTTTAAGAATCACTTTGTATGAATTGTAAGTGAAATGTAGGAATACACCATAAAATAGTAAATACTTTGCATATGGATGTTTTACCAAAACGATAATGATTATTAACTAAATACAAAAAAGTGAAACTTCCATTGTAGTTTATATTGTGGATTTTAATATATTTTAATAATATAATTTGTAAATAAATTCTTCTGCTCTTTTATGTTCGCATCGAAGTTGTAGTATCTACACTTTCTATACTTACTTTCAGGACATGTGTAAATTTACTTTTGTCGTATCACCTTATTTCCTCGTAAATTCGTATAATTGAATTTTAATTAAATTTTAAGTTTTATAGATTGTGTTATGTAAACTACGGTATGTTGCATCAAATAAAAGTATTTCTATGAGATATATATTATTTGTTTACAAGATTCATGTAATAATATTTTACTCTCATTTTATTCTTTGTATATTGAGATAAATAACGGTATAAACGGAAAATGATAATATAAATAACAAATAATAAATTATGTAATAACTGGGTACATATATACATTTTGATGTAGTAGTTCTAACTTGTATTTTTAACAAATTCATTCTATTACTTTATTTTGTTTTATTCTGTTTATTAATTATTTTTAATTTATGTATATATAAAATATATAAAATAAAATTTATTATTATTTAATTACTATTCAATATTAATTTTATTATTATTATTAATATCTTGTATTATTAATAACAGTATATATATATATATATCATAAGCTATTATAATTATGAAACAAATTGAAGTATCTTAATCTTTTAAAAAATCGTGGTATAATACAAATACAAGAATTAAAAATTGTTATTCCAATTTGAAAAATATATAAGAAATAAAAATAATTTGGAAATTGATATTAACATTTAAAATAAAACATTCAATTAAAAATTAATTATATACATA